GAGTGGATGGATGCGGAAAGCCCTCTTTTCTTGTTATACACATCGTAAGTGAATTTATTCTAAGCTTTGATTTTAGTCTGGTTTGGGCTTTACTTTTATTAAAAGTTAATATAATTGTGATCACCGTCATCGTATGTGCTCTGTAAATCTGAGTAGCTGGTAACACAACACAAACTATTTTCGCATCCGTTGCATCTTCACATTTTGCTTCAAGATACATCCGTGTTGTCTAAGTAAATGATTCTATACACTATCGCAAGGTGTTATCCTAATGCGTGTTGAAGTGGTAACTAATTTGTGTAATAAGGGATAGTTTGTCTCTATCCAAACTTGCTGATCGCATAGCCTCCCATCCTGGATTGACTATGTTATGTTCTGTTGAAGGATTGATTGCATATTCTTCCGCAGCTAACAGCACGTCTCTAGACTTATCTCTGCTGCTAAGATCAATGGGAAAAGTGCGTCTTTGCTGGGCTAGAAGAGTTAGGATTTCCAGGCAGACAATGCAACTTTTCTTATCCTATCTATGCTGACTTTCTGCGATCTTTGCTCTTTTTTTTTTGAATATGAGATGAATGTGGGTTTCCAGCGGATCGACGGGAAAGCCTAAAGGAATTCAACATTCAACTGCCGGCTACATGGTTTATGCTTATTACACGACCAAATGTACCTTTGATGCTCATCCTGAGAAAGATGTCTACTGGTGTACGGCCGATTGTGGTTGGATTACTGGACACACGTTCGTTCTTTTGCAATTACGTAACATCAGGGATTATCGCTATGTGAAAGCATGTGTTTCTAGTTTTATCTCGACGTTCTTATTTAGGTATTTGTTGTATGGACCATTGATGAATGGGTTGACTGGTATATGGTTCGAAGGAGTTCCCACTCATCCTGCTCCGGACAGGATGTGGGCGGTTACCGATAAATACAAGGTATAGATGAACTGGTCGTTATGTCCCAGTCATCTTTGACTATGTTGAGTTTTGTACTAGTTTCGCTCATGTTTATACTTTCAGGTGAACAAGCTTTATACTTCGCCAACTGCGATTCGCGCCTTAATGGCCATGGGAGATGATTATGTGACGAAGTAGGGCAAATACTTGTTTTTTTTCCGAAATATGTAGCTGAACAACTCTAGTAAATACTTAGGTTTTTTATATCATATCTGTAAAAGAATTTCCTTCTAGGCATTCTCGTGCTTCCCTGGAGATTTTGGGCACGGTAGGTGAACCCATCAATCCAGCAGCATGGAAAT